GAAGTCTCAGACTGTAGAACCTGTGCATCTCTTTGCCTCTCTGTCCTCCCCCATCCTCATTGTCACCTGCCCAGCTCATCCTCCTGCATTTAAGAGGTTACCTTCTGGGTAAAGACTTCAGTGAAAAACTCCCTTCCATAAGCACCACTCATCCTCTCACTCTCAAAGCTTTCTTCAGATTTCTGAAAAGATATCTAAATGTCTACCACTCTACTCAGATTAGAAACAGGAACTGCTTCTTATTTTCTCAGCATGCCTGTGCCCAGCAAGGTACCTGGCACACAATAGGCAGTGGACAACCAAGCAAACTGAAAAGTTTTCCATGCTGCAAATAACTTTCTTCCCAGTTTCTGGGAACTTTCCCTAGGCTAACCTAGTGCACACAGGAGGCACAGAAATAGATGAGGGTTCTTTCTCTAAGCCACACCAAGCATGCCCATAGAACAGATGGCTTTCTTAGAAAGCAACACATATCCCTGGGAGCCATTTGTTATAAACTTTCCCCATGGCTAACTCAAAACAAAATAGTATGGGGTTTGGAGCAGTAAAAATATATATATTTTCTTTTCTATTTAATAGATTATCACAAAGTAAAAAGAGAAAAGGACAGAGTATGAGACAAAGAGCAGAAAATTAAGAGAGCAGAGCAAGATATAAATAATAAAGCCAGGTATGGTGGCACATGCCTATAATCCCAGCTATTCAGGAGGCTCAGGTAGATGGATCACAAGTAGAAGCCATCCTGGGCAACTTATCAAGACCTTCTCACAAAATAAAATTTTAAAGAGGCTAAGGTTGAAGCTCAGGGGTAGAGATCTTACTTATTCTTGAGCTAAAGCCCTGGGTTCCAAGCACTGCAGATAAATATATAAATGGGGAGTGGGGAGAGAACAAACTATCCAAGGCCAGACTCTGCTATCAGTTCACACCTCCTATTGCTCCCTGCTCCTTAGGAAACAGCCCCAACCAATCTTTTGCCCCTTTTCCATTTGTCTTTCTATCTGTCCTTTCCACTGCTAACCAAAAACAAAAAGGAAATTTTGATTTGCACCAAAAAAAAACTAAATTACATGATTGCACTACTTACAAAAATCTATTGTGCCATTATTAATCCATATATTACATTAAGTAGTGCATATTTATTTTGTGCTGGCAAACAAAAAAATCAGAGTTGTTATATTTCTAAGACCAGTAACATCTAACAAATCAATTGTCTTATCACAAATTTTTTGAGAATTAATTCTCAATAAGATGACTTGTCTTTTCAGTTGTAAACCTGAGAGTGTTTCTTTCTTCAGCCATTTCCTCTAATATTCCACATCTGCAGATTTTAGTTCCAGAGTTAGATCAGACTGGAGAGTTTCTAATTTCTTGAACTCTCAGTTCTGATCTGATTCCTGCCCCCAGGGAAATAAAATGCTGCTTCTGGAATCTTTCTAAACCACACAAGGGCTGTTGTGTAAGGACATTTCAGGGATCAGCGTTTATGATTCAGACCTATTGAACATCTAAGTTCCAGTATCTGTCCTTACCTTACCAGTGTTTGCCAGTGTTGGTCAGTGTTTTGGCCTCCTGGTCTCTCCCTAATTCATGCTGTAGAAGCTAAATCAAAGAACTGATGAGACAATGTTTGCAAATACAGAGTATTGTTACAATTTCATATTATGACAGAGTATATTAGAGACTACAAGAATAGCTACAAGGGGAAGGGACGGGTTAATGAATTTTCAGCAGTCATTTACAAATTAACCCAATATTTATTGAGTATCTATTATATGCTGAGTAATTTATTCTCCCACTCAATCTTTAGCTCCGTGACTTAGTCATTAGTTACCTCCACTTTAAAAGAGAAAATTGAAGCTCTGTGAGGAAATTCCCTTGCTCAAGAGCCACACTGCTAGTGAGTGCCACAGGATTTGAACTTAGGTCCTTTGACTCCTGGTCCTGAATTCTTTCCACAACACCACTCTTTGCTGAAAAAAAAACTAGCATATTCCATGACTGGAAATTTGCCATCCATTATCTAATCCACTTTTTAATGTAAGCCTTACTGAAGTACATACATTTTTATTCTACTACAACTTCAAAAGATTACCTTGTCTCAACAAAACTAATGAAATTGAGAGATATTCCCTGTTCTTAGAAGAATATCACTTAAGCAACAACTGGGAAAGGTAGAATTAGAGACTTGATGCTGTTCCCAGGATACTTTACAAACAGGAATAAACCCCTGCCTAGTGCAGACTACTCAGTGCCCCCCTCCTTTTGGACTAAATGGGGCCCTTTTACCGAGGAAGCTGCTAAAATGGCATCAGGCTATTAATGGGAAAAGCATTTACTTTAGATTAAGAAGAGTGTAAAGTAGGGCGGAGGGGGGCCCTCTATGACTGGCTATTAGAGATGTTAATTAAATATTTATAATGTCTAAATTAGCATAGTGAAAGCTCAATTCATCAATTTGTTCTGGTCTGTTTCTGAGGTGGGGGGGGGTGGGGAATCTTCAAATGCCCCTGAAGAAAGATGCTATGTAGGTCAATAGGAAGATGACTGAACAATTTATTATGATTGTGGTAAACTTTTTATTTTGATTTTATTTAAAGGTACTTGTTGCAGCACCTTACCTTAAAGACCATTTACCACAGTCGATATACTGGAGGGCCATGCATTATTCATCGTTATCCAATGAAAAATTTGCCAAGGTGCTTCAATGCTGAATGCCTGATTGATTAATTGATTGCTTGATAGTTCCAAAAAGTAGGGACTGGGTTCAATGTTGAGAACTGGAGGCTGGAAGCTGATAGTCCTGGAACTTTCCTCTCTTACTAACTAGCCTGCTGAAGGACCTAGATTTCCAAGCCTTGAAATGGTATTTTGCTAATAGAGCTGTTTCAAGCTTCATGGTTAGTAATTAAGAGGAATAGTTGGATTTTCCTCAGAAAACTGCTAAGCATGTGGCTGCTTCTCCCTCCATCTAGTGTGGAGAAGCCAAGTATATTAATACCTAAATACCCACAATATCTGATTGCTTAATGAATGTATTTGATGAATTCTATTAGAATTATTTTCCAACCTCTTCTTATTAAAGAAAAGTCTTAAAAGGGAAAGGCCAACTATCCAATCTATTTTCAACTGTATATGAGACTGACTGCAATGGAGATTATCATCACCAACCTTTCAGAGGGAATTATCTGAGCTAGCTGGAGCTCATCACCACTCACCCATGTTGGGTAAACACATTTATAGGAGGTAAGTCTGGAAGGTTTTACAGACCCATTCTCCCGACACTGGCCCAGTAGTTCCATGGTCATATTTAACAAATGTACCTCTTCCCCAAATTTAAAACTTTATAAAAAAACAAAAACGTTTAGTTTGTTTTGGCTATAATGAACTTTCTTGTATCCTGAAGGTATGTTGCTTGCTTTTCCTATAAAGTAGTGTCCAGAAATACAGTTTGAAACCTCTTTATATGGGAGCATCTGATCTTTCTTTCTTCCTTCTTCGGACAATCTGTCCTTCCCTTGAGGGTTGGCTGGCGTGAAAGGGTTAAAGGTTCTCCGGTCAAAATAGCCCAACAGAAGGAGCCCGGCCCAGAGCTGAAATCTAAGTGCTAATGACCGCTGCCCTTCACCCCGCTGCTGTCCACCGGTCGGACCTGCGGCCCGGTGGGGGCCGGGACTGGGAGAAGGCACAATGTTCTGCATTTAACATTTGAACTTCTCCTATCCGAGGCAGCAGGCCGTTTTGTCCTGGGGTCGCTGACCCTGGCTCCCCCATCAGCTGCCCTGAAACCTTAATTGAATGACAGATGGTCATTTTCGGGGGCGCCAGAAGCTGCCGGCGGTCAGCGGCGCGGAGGCCAGTCTCAGGCCCCAGCAGTCTTGCCAGGACTCTGCCAGCAAAGGGCGGGCGGCCGAGGCAGCAGGCGGCGGGCGGAACCTGCAGGTCCAGCCGGCGCAAAGGGGTCGGTGGGCGTCAGCCCTACGCGCGGCTGTGCTCTTCCGAAGAAAGCCCCGGTCTACCGGGCTGTTTCGCCGGGTCCTAGTGCCCTTGACTGCCTCCCAAGTCGAGGATTCAACGAAGACTAGGCCCAAACTAGGCCAGTTTGCAGCCTGGCCCGGACTCTGGCGCTGGAAAGAAGCAGAAAATGGACAAAAACTCTCCATATAGGCTGATTCCAGCATCCTCGGCCCCAACAGAAAGGTCTGGGACTGGCCCAGGCTCAGTACTCAAGCCCAAGATGCCCAGCCCCAGGCCTGACCCGCTGGTCAGGACCCAGGCCAACAAGAGGTGGGATCCTGAGCCTCACGCCCGGCCGCCTGCTGCCTGCCCTAAGTCCCCCACGTCGCCTTCTCCCCAACGCCATTCCTTCCAGGAAGCAACGCCGTATCCCTGTTCTGGCAGACACTCCCCTGATGGCCCCTGGCTAATGCCGGGTGCTGCAATATCGAAATCACACTACTGCGGGGAGCTTTAGGGTTCCCAGGTAAAAGATGAGCGCCCCAAAAGGACCCCGAAGGTACCGCGACCCAACCGTGCCGCTCAGCCGCCTGCCTGAGCCCTAGTGTCCTATTTCTTTAAAATAAAAGCTTCGAGCCCTACAATTACTGGGATTACAGTGAGCGAGTATTGATCTGCAGCCAACATTGTAGGATCAAGCGGACGGGAGGAGGTAGACGTCGCCGCCCCAGCCCCCCACCACCTCGTCTTCCAAAGCATTAAAAAAAAATTCTAAATATTTGATTTCAGACACACCATCAACACCTGCTGCAAAAGAATGACTACCCCTACCCCCACCCCCAGAGCGGCCACACCTCCTCGCCTCTCCGCCCTTGGGCCTCCCAGGCCCAAGCCAGCTATGCCGCCACCTTCAGTCTTTATTTCTCCCCCCCCCCCTTAATTACTGAGGGAAAATATACACATAAGCAAAAAAAAAAAAATTCTCGGGCAGGCGCAAGAGGGGGTGGTGAGGAGGACGGCGAAGGCGGTAATGCAACCCTAATGCACAGATAGCTGACATCAACTTCCGTCAGGCAGCTCCTGGAGATCGAACCTTTCGATTGTAACTGGGACAATTTGCATAGTGATTCCCTTTCAGAGCTTTCCCGGGTCCATAACTAGCCCAGGCAGCTATTCAAATGCAAGTTGCATCCCCCAAATGCAAGGCTGGCCTGACCAAAAAGAGCCACACGGCGCCGGGAGAGGAGAGACTCGCGCCACGGTTCTCATCCTTCTCTTTTCTCCTTCCTTCTCCCTTTCTCTTCTCCGGTTCCTGATTTAGCTGGGAGCTATTTATTTCTGACTACAAATGTGTGTGCGCGAGCCAGAGAGAGAGGGAGGGAACTGATCTTTGGACTTAAAGATGGAGACGAAGGAGCCGGAGGGAATTTGGGTCTGTGTGTCTGGCTCAGACCCTAGGCGCTGAGGGGGGCCGTTGGGCATCAAGCCAAGGGTCTTTCTTCTCGGCGCCCCTTATTCTGCGACCTGGCAGGAATCCGTGGGCCGAAGAGCGCCCCGGCTGATCCGCCTGCCCCGGGCCGGGCTACAAGGAAAGTCTTGGAGCAGGGGGCCGTCCCGTCCCTGTCTTTAAAATGAGCGCAATAAAAGGTATTACCTGCTACGTGTGCTGATTACTTTCTCCTGCTCTGCACTGGGCGGAGAGGGATTGATTTATAATTTCCGGGCAGAGGGAGGAATTGTGGGCTTAAAATTCTGTTCCCCGTTTTCCTATTTCTTATTTGAAATTATGCAAATTGACTCTCGTTTCCCTCCCTCCTAGGGGGCAAATCCTCGAACGCGAACCTGATCGCATGTCACAGAAGCAACTTGCCATGAAATCCGCTAATGCGCCGCGACTCGCCCACCAGGGTAAGCCAGTCTCAAGGCGTATGTGGCGGTAGGGGGAGGAAAAGAAGGGGACGATAGGCCGGAGCAGACTCCAGGGGCCTGGCCACTCTGGTCCACTGCTGAGCTTGTGGCAACACACACACACACACACACACAAAAAAAAAAAAAAAAAAAAAAAGGTAGAGGCCACCGGCGGAGGGCAACTCCAGCGTCACCGCTGGAGAGCTCAGCGGGGGCGGCTCCCTCCCAGCCTGCCTGCCCGTCCACGGCAGGTAACAAATGGGTCCTCCCTGGGAGTTTAAAGTGGCAAATGAGAGTGGAGACCGGCCCTCTGAGTAGGGTGTAAATAACACGGGCGTGCCCCGCGCTGGTGGCGGGTACGCCAGCTAGAGTCTCCGGTTTGTGCGAGGTTCTCCCTCTAGGCAGCGTGCGGTGGCTAAACGAACCTGTTTCTCAGACAGCCCTGTAAGAAACCAAGCCATCTCGATTCACTTACTGGGGAATATCCCCAAATTGAAACTTTTCTGCACTTCCCTAGTCTAGCTCACTGTTTTTAAATTTCCCTCTTGCTCGATGTCTCTCCAAATCCAACCCAAACCCGCTAAAGATGATCACAGGCCACTGATCGTGCAGAACTGACCGTGAACTCGGTGGCACAACCAGCTCCTCTAGTCAGAGGAAATTAAAGCGGTGGCTAAATTCGTATGTTTTGCTTTATGTGGTGAGCAAAATGTAGGGTTTTGTTTTTTTAAGCCTTCTGAAGCAGTCAAACACATTTTCAAATGTTCTTTATTTATATCGGTTCTGGTGCTGGGAGCTGTCTGGGAATGAGCTTTTTCATTGTGCCTTTTTTTTAAAGTCTTGGTATCTTTTAATATGTAATGTTTCTCTGATCATTTCACAATAAGCATTCTAACGACAAGATAAATAAGAGAGCAGTTGGGATCATACGGTGAGAAAAGCAGAGTGGATAGGACAAATAAACCCAATATAAAATGAAAACAAATTGAGCAGATGAAATTATTATGTAAGGAGATGGGGGAATTCGTTTATCAGAAAAAAAAAATGAGTTTATGGCCTGAAGTTTCCAGATTTTGATAGCAACACAAACCAAATCAAAAGGAATTAAATATTTTCCTTTGCCCCTATATGTACAACCAAAGAACACAGGCCCTCATGGCCATCTTGATCAAATGCACGTTTTGAGGCATTTCAAAAGACAATTCAGCTTTGGGACATTTGCATACATTTTTGGTAAACTACAATCAATTAGGTGACATTTCATCCTGGTGGAAAACAATTTAAAATTTATTTCTGCCTTTAGGAAGAGAAGAAATGGAGCCCTTGCAGTTAAATTATTACTGGCTTCTACAGGGTTAATTTGATGCAAATAATTTACTCTCCTATCAACATTGAAGGAAAAGGTAGTGGCCGTGGAACAGGAAGAGCCAGTCAGGTAGTGACAAAACTCTGCCTCTGGGTTCTGAAGAAGGTATCCGGAAGCTCTGAACTTAGCTTTGGGTTTGTTGCACCGCATTCGCTCTCTTAAAACAGTAACTCAAGATGTAAGTAAAAGTGTTTTCATTTTTTATTGATCCCACTAACATCTTTCATTATCCAGCATGTAGCCACAGCAAATTATTGCTCATTTGATACCAAGAATTCTATTGACCATCGCTTTCGTTGGAGAGAGAATTCTAACTACTAGCTGCTCTGTAGTCAGTCAGAGCTGAGGCTGAGAACACTACACAGCTAAAACAAGTAAATTGAGCCCTCTGCCTCCAGGAATTGATGGAGATGTGTTCATTACATTGGGCCACGTGAACATGCATAGAAATCTGCTTTTTGCTCTGCCAGTCGGCATTGCCCCCATGCAATCAAAAGGTCGGCCCCTTTGGAACAGAACTGTCTAATTGGAGGGCTGGACATTCGTTTGCCTCTCCTGTATCCCTTCTGGCAACTTCTTTTCAGTTCTGGCCAGGTTGGGCAATGAAATGATGCATTAGAAGATACCAAATGTGGACACAATTATTAAAACCGCGCTTCCTTTAAAGAAAAAAAAAAACACTTCCTAAAATGTCTAGATGAGTGACTTTATGTAGTCACTCATAATTTCCTAAATAAAATTGCTCTATTCCCACCCCCTCAAAACTCCACGTCATTAGATACAGGCTAAATTGTCCGGGGACTGGGAAGCTCTAAGATCTGTGTCTGTTCTCCCTGGTCGGCAATGGGCATCCAGCCTCAATTACAGGGGAGACCGCTCCAGTGCTTGCTTCAGCCAGCGGTACAGAGAAGTCTGTGTGCCTAGAGAAGGCCTGACCTTCGACCCTCCAGGCTGGAGAGGGAGGTTCTCGGTTGAAGATGCAGGAGAAAGGATCTGATAGAGCAATGGAAGAGGCCAGGTTTGTTCCCTTAGAAGCTAATGGCAGAACCTGTCTTCACGATGAAAGGAGCTAGTGCTGCCCCACAGCAAGAACCACCGGACACCTGGACCTTGGGGCATCTTCACCATCTCCAAGGCGGCCTAGACAGACTTTTCTGTAGGGATCAACACGTCCTCCATTCAGGCGTCTGAGGGAAAGGCAAAGGACTCTGGGGGTGCATTGGCCCGAACAAGACAGGTGCAAAAACAGAAATTCAAGCCTGTTCGGATGGGGAAGAGAGGGACGCTGTCAGATTTCCAAGAAACCAAGGATCCACATCTATTTCTCCTTAAGCCCTTGATCCAATAGGAGAGCAAGATAACCTTGGAGAAGCCATGCCCGTGGAGATTCCTCGGAGGAGATGGTTGGGTGTCATTTCCACAACTACCAGGAGATAAGCCTTCTCAGTTGGGTTCCAGAACAAAAAGGAGGACCAATTACTGATTCCACAAATGAATCCTGGCATGTGTATCCCGCAAACAGCGTCAATTCTCAATTGGAAGGTGCATTTAGGGGATCTAAGGAACCCAGCTTTGTATTATTTTCCTAATGATGCTGTTACATGTGTGTGAAACCACTGGCACTCTTGTGGACCACGATCCATAACCTTTCATGGTCATGGAGCCACTTTGTTCCAGTGTGGGCAGTGAACTAGTGAGAGTGTGTGCTTCACATGCAGGATGCTCACCCGAGAGTAGTAGAGTAGATTCTGAATTGGTTTGAGGATGATGGGAAATGTAAGATGAAATATACACTGTGTTTTTTTGTCTTTTCTTTTTTAGTTTTTCTATTTTGTTTTTAATGAAGATAAATAACCTTGGGCTCAGGAGTAATCAATCCTCCCAAACACAGTGATATTCCTAGAATGTGCACATCACCCATAACACTTGAAGATTCCTGCCCAAAGGTTTTGGAAACCCCTTTTCTGGATTCCAGCCCAGATTCTGAAAACCTCTCAAGCCTCCGGGGGAAGAGAACTCACCCCACGAAGCAGCTGAAACTACACACTCAAAAGCACACACAGGGGTCTAAGGCTGGATGCTATCAGGAAGGCCAGCCGAGCTAACCAGAAAGTGTATGACTCTACTGGAAACCAGAAACCAATAAGTCAGCAACACTCTAAAGTCATTTTGGGGAACAAGACCTGGAACTTGAGTTTGAGTTGAAAAGTTAGGGACAAGGGACAGATCACCCAGCATTTCTCTGGAACAAGGCAAACTGAGAACTAACCAGCTGCACTGGCATTGCAGCAAATTAGAGATTAGGAAATTTATTTCCCTCCTACATACAATAAGACACAAATCCTTCAACCTGGAGCTCACCTCTGTGCAGGGAGCATCCGGCTCCCCACATTGCACTTTCCAAGTGGCCCACTAGCCTTCTCCAGGTTTTGCCAGGCAAATGAAGCAAGAAGTACTCGATAGTAAATTATTTTGTTCAGGCTTCTGTCTTTTTATGAAAATAAAAGCCAACACTTTGTCATTTTTAATCACATAAGCAGACAATAAATCTAATTTTGATATTGATTTTTTTCCAGAATCAAGTGATTTTTTGCAGTGTCTGTTGTGTTTCCTTTCTGAAGAAGGGCCTTGTGTTTGAGATGGTGCGGCAATGAGACTGAGTCTATGCAGCCAGAGCTTTTCTGAAACACGTAGTTGATGGTGGACTTTGAGAGCAGAGAGCTGAGAAGATTTTTCTCGCGTGGCAGGAATTTTTCTCTAATTATCTAAATAACAGTTTCAATTTAGCCACTCCTGGCAAAGACAGTTAAGGCTTGACTGGTGCTTTCAGTGATTAAGGCCTCTGAGATGAACTTTGTTTTAAATTTTTTAGTAAAATCAAGTAAATAAAAACAATAACCCCAAAATATGAAGCTGTCAGAGGCCTACACCACGGCACTGTGGAGAATTAGCCAGAAAAGCTGTCCCCACCCCACACAGATGACAAGCCCCAGACTCCAGACCTGGGTCACTGGAACATGGATAGTTGTAGCAAAGACCTAGCTGAGAAGCACTGTGGAAGCCAGTTACAGCAAAGTCGCAGTGGCTCACCTGAGCCTCCTTAGTCTCTCTCCTTTTTCAAAAACAAGATTAGTTTATGTTGATGCCAAATGAAGCCAGCACTTTTCATATGAAAGTACAGATGTACAAAGATCTGCACCAGACCCCACCTAGAGAAGGAGAGGGAAGGAATAAAGAACAAAGTTAGAAGTAAAGAATAAGAACAATACGGAGAAAGGGGGGAGGAAATAAGAAAAGTGGAGAAGGAAGGAAAGAAGGGAAAAATGAAAAGGAAGAAGTGAGGAGACAGAAAGGGAAGGGAAGAGAAGTGGAAAAAGCCGGGGAGAGATGGAAGGCTGGTGAAGAGGAAGGAAAGAAGAGGAGAAACAGAGAGAGAAATTTTAAAGTATATAATGAAGAAAAGTGCAAATGTGTCCAGTCTATGAGAAGGAAAGTGAGATTGCCCCTATCTACCTGAGCCTTTTCTTGCAGCTCCCGAACGCCCCTCCTCCCTTCCTACTGGAATCCAAAAATTTAAACTTAGGTCTGGCCTCTCTGTGCTGCCAGAAGGGGACTACCAATACCTACACAAGCTTCTCCAGCACCCTTCCATTGCTACCAGGGGTCGACCCCTCTACGACTCAGATGGTAGAGGACCCTGGCTGGGGGAAGGGACCAGACGGCTCTACGCCCAGCGGAGGGGGGATGGGACCTGGGCCTGCGATTGACCCTCGGGCTCTGACCTTTCCCGCCGTCCTCTAGGGTCAGGATTTAACCTTTCGCTTCCCCACTCTGCGCCCTCCTCCTTCTCAGTGGCCCTCGGCTAGAGGGGAGGAGAGAGTGGGTCGATATTTGGGGCTGGCAGGGAGGGGGGCCGGCGCCTGTGCCGAATTACTGGAGGATGGGGCTTAGACCAGAGAATCCATTCTCTCCCCACGCAGGAACGCGGAGCCTAGCGGATCCCGCGCTTGCCGAGAGCCGGATGCCAAAGCCCATTAAACTTGGGGCCTGGTAAATAACCCGCTAAGACACGGGGAAGGAGAACAAGCTTTTCCCTCGGTTTTTCCGCCCCGTCTAGAACCATTTCTCTTCGTATAAAGCCCTTCCTCTCCTGCTCAGGAAACGGCCACTAGTTTACATTTGGGAGAATCCCGAGAACTTTAGCCAGATGGGCAGGAGGCAACAGTGCAGACCCGGACCAGGGTCCCCCCGGCACGGTCAAAGCATTAGACGTCCCTCTGGGGGCAGGTGCCTAGAGAACCAATAGAGAAATCGGGCCAAAGTCCCAAGCCGCTGGGCCCCACTGACCTTGCTACCTGTCCCTGCCCAGACAGTAGAGGGACAAGCCTCCCGCCAGCCCTATTCCGCCAACTTCCAAACGCTTCAGCGACCGGCGCCCCAGAAGGCTCTCCCCGCGGGGACCAAGGCAGAGGGAGCAAACCGGAGGCTGCTGAGGCCGCCGGAGAGACCCTGGCTCCCCAGTTCCGCGTGGCTTGGGGTTTTCGCGGTCTCCCCAGCTGGAGCCAGGGCCGCCAGGAGCCAAGAGCCTTAGGTTCAAATGCATCAAAGCTCTGAAGTCATTTATCCGGTTTCATAAATAATTTTCTTATTACACTTAAGCCAGATCCCTGCCCCCTTCCCGTTTTTATTGCGGGGTTTCAGTGGCTAAAAAGTTTCTAAGTCGGGTGGGCAGTTGTTTTCCTTTTTCCATCATTAACATCATTAATATAAGCTATCAATAACCCTGTCGTTGGGAGCCGAGTTTCACGGTATTGATCCACGCAGCTATTCATCTCTGCCATGCAAGACACGGAATAATTTTCGCATTACAGTAGCTTGGATTTGCTTTTAATTCATATTTAAAGCTGCAACCGGCTCAGTGGAGCGCTCTGCAAAAGACTAGAGGCGCCTAATTAATAATAAGTTAGAAACGAAGGAAGGCACCGGCGAATAAATAATTAATACAGACATCTATGTCTCTTTGAATATTGCTCCTTTAAAAATTTAGACTTACCAGGACTATACTGTAAGTCTGCAATTTATATTGCGGGGATGATTTAAGAAAGCTATTTTTCCCTTGAAATACAATACTAAATAATTTAGTGTTTTGCAAACCTAAGTTTCTTCATTAGCCAGCTCTTCTGGTTTGTTTCTTCCAGGTGGAAAACACCATTTTTTAAAATAGTCATAATAAGATTCATAAATATCCAACCATAACCACCAGATTCATTTCAGATGGCTAGAATGGGAGCAAGATGGCTTAAAAGCCCAGTTTAGTGTATCCTGCCCTGGAGAGGTGCTGGGGTTGCCACATATAAGGTGGGGTTTTGTTAGGGAGAAAACAACAACAACAACAAAAAAAAAATAGTCACTGGCCAGTGACTTTAGGCTTTCGCTTGTGTTGGAGGGAACAGAGTTTGAAGTAAAACCCAGGGTCTTCAAAAGATGCCAGGAGAGAAAAAGCTGGGATTTAGAGGATCCCTGATTTCCTCCATGGCAAAAGCGAAATCGGAATCTTTAGAGAAGGGCTCTTAAGACAGGATTGTATTCCAGGATAGTCAGGATCTACCTGTGGGCTAGAGGCAAATAACAAAATTCAAGGAGGTAGGAGTGACTGAAAACCCTTGGAGGTTTTTGTGTGAGACTAGGATTTGTTTGCAGTGTTGTTAGCAATATTGATTTTTTTGTTACTCGGATTAATGTATGTTAAACAGGAAAATACAGGCAGTAGTCAAGTGTATTATAATCATCTATTGTTTAGAGTTGAAGTTTCACTGTGTGGACGATGGTGCATTTGGACTGAGAGGCAATTCCAGGTATCTCCAAATGTTCTAGGTTCCGTGCAGCAGAACCCCCAAGAGGACTGGCAGTGGGGCGTGAGGGGGAGCTAAACCTGCAGTTCAGTAGCCTTCTCCCCCTTTAAAATTACAACCTCACCTATAACCAACCCACTATCTGAAAGTATCAGCCTCCACCCTGGACCTCCCTGGTCCTCTAAATTAATTTAAGAACTAAAGGATGCAGGTGTTCCTGTCCATCAGGGTCTCCAAAAGCTCTTCAACCTAAAACCCAGATTCCCCGCAGCCCCACAGCCCCACCACCAGGTCTCTTGGCCCTAATGACCATCCAGCCAACCTCTGGGACTTCCTTTCAGGGCCGGACACTTCCTCAGCAAAGCATTGGAGGCCTGCGAGCCGGGCATGGCGCACTGCTGTCCTGCCTACATACAGATACAAGCCCACACGTGTCAGGCCTGAAAAAGACACCGGACCGGGAGGAAAACTCAGGAACAGCTATTCGGGAGCTCCTGGAGACCCTCCCGCCTGGACCCTTGGAACCTCAGAGAACCTCAGAGAAGACAGTCCCCTCCCCCTCTACTCCCCCACCCTCACCCTCCCCGCCCCCTCACAACAGCTGTGCTTTTGGGGCGCTCTGCTCGTGACAATCCACAGGTCCCACGTCCCTGCCCAGCATTGGCGCGTTAGAGATCAGTCTGTGTACTCTCAGCTTTTCCTCCTAACCCCACTCCCGAGCCCTGGGTCACCGCATTTATGCCACAAGACCCCGAAAAGCTCCCATGCACAAAAACTAAAGGACTCTAACATGATCCCTTGAGTATCGGGCTAGTTCAGGAAGGAGCAAGCCGAGCAGGGTCTGGGGAAAATACAACTGGACGCTTGGAGACTCCATAATCCTATGCCTGAAAGGCTCTCAGGCCAGAGGGCAGGTGCACTTGCCCTGAGCCCCGGGTCCGAAACACGGGGGCTGGTTGTTGTGCCAGCCGGGAGGCGGAGGGAAGCAGAGGAGGTGGACAAGAAGCGGAAGGCCGATCGGGTGGGAAGGGCAAGAAAAGAAGGTAAAGTATCAGAAGGCAAGTGTGAGAGATGAAGAGGGAAGGGAAAAGACTTGGGAGAAAGCAAGAAAAGGCCGGGGTCCAGCCCCAGCAGGCCCCAGGAGAGAGACACAGGCAAGGGGTGAGGAAACCAGAACACCAGCGTTTTATTTTTAAATCTTCTAGGTGTCTGCGGGTCAAATAAAGACAAGGGCGGTAACGATTATTCTGTTAAATCTATGGTACTTGACTGCGCAAACACTAATTGATTAGACACCAAAATGATTTGTTTAAAGAGTTTTCCTCCCCAAGTGCAGCTGCTCTCAGGTCCAGGTCGGCGTTACCCGGCGAGACTGCGGAGGAGTTCGCCAAGTGGGCCAGGCGCCCCGCCGCCTAGCCCGCAATCTGTGTAGGGTCGGGTGGCTGGTCCACGCTCAATAGGCCTGAGGGTACAGGCTGGACGGCATCCCGTGACTTCTGCTCTTAGGGACCACCTCAAAGGGATTTTGCTACACCCGCCTCCTCTAAATTGCACCGAGGAGGAGCCCCCTCTCTTCCCGCTCTCCTTTCCAGTCCCCAGCCTTGGAAGTCAACACCTGCCCGTGGTTAATTCGGCGTACTGTCCCCCAAAAGTGGAAGCATCGAAAGAACAGCATTTCCGGCGGTCTAAAGACTGGAAAATTCACCGCCCCGGAGGCGTGGGTAGGTTCCCTTTGTAATATTCTTCAACGTTGTAAAGTGACCAAGAAAGAAAATCCGTGAAGGGTTGACGGTTGGCCAACTTCTCCAGAATCGCGCCGGTTGCGACTAGCACAGTCCTGTGGCCAGAGAGTCACCTAGGAACCTGGACCCCCTCCTTCATGCTCAGGACGTCAGGACACCCACTCTTCCTTCAACGCTCTTGGTTCGAAGCCTTGAAAAGCTCTCGCCAGAGTGGATGACTGCCGGAACGGGATTTCAACCCAGGTGACGCTGCCTCCAGTTCAGCTAGGGAACCTAGAAAGGGGAGCGGTTTGCTTCCTGCACCCAGGAGGTAACAGACACACCAGGAGTGGTCTGATGTTCCAGGATGGCCACTCAGGTGGCTCTTGGTAGGTCTGGAATTTCTAGGGTTGGCATGAGCTGACAGCCTTTCAGCAGAGTATCCTCTCTTTGGGATTTGGAGTTACGAGTAGAGTAAGTTGAAACAAAGAAAAGTGCGAAAATGCCGAATTTTTTAAAATTCACGCGTGAAAACCGAATTTAAGAAGGAAAAAGTAGGGGAGAAGTTAACGAAAAGGTGAATAAAAACTATAGACAAAAAGATGATCAAAGATTGAAAAAGAAGGCCAGGATAATTGGTAACTTCCTTGTCCCAGAGTGAGGGTCACTATTTTTTTTTCCTCAGTGTTGGAAATTGAACCCAGGGCCTGGAACCTAGTATCTTTCTATAACTGAGCTACACCCTCAGCCCAGTAACTTGGTTTTTGTGTTTTAAAAAATTATTTTCAATAGCAAATCACCAATCCAGTCCCTTCTATGTTTCTTGATAATTCTATTCTAAGCCAATAGTAATTTTCTGAATGAAATTTCTCCAGAGATGGGAGGACTCCCGAGGAAGACAGGAGAGCCCAATGGGAAGCACCCAGGATCAAATCCTTCACCCCCAGCGATCAAGTGCTTTATTGTAGTTAGATATCAAGGAAATGGTTCCACACCAGCAGTTTAATTCTAGACTGAATGTAGTCATCAGAAATGATAATGAATTCCATTCTGAGGCTCTAGCCAAGGAGTGGGTCTTCCCCTGGGACCTTGGAGATATTTGCTCTGACACCCAGGATTGCTGTTTGTGACACCAAAAAATGAAAAGTACATGTTTGATGGCTCAGGGGGGTCTAGAAACATTTATTTGGAATGGTCCTGAAGACTGGGAAATAATCCTGTATTACACCTCTACTACTCACAAAGAAAAATAAAGTATTAACTTTGAAACCAATAGGAGCTTCTCAGAGAACTTTGTGTGGTCAGCATTTCGAAAAATGGGCTTCTTCTTTTAATTTTTTAAGCCTGATGGGGTTGCCTGGAGGGTTGCCTGGCAATCTGTAGAGCATCCAGCATGAGAGTGTACCTGCTCGTCCCATCCCCCCAGGCTCTTCTTCTGACATTTACAAAATAAATATTTTGAAATCCTTGTTTCTAAACTGAAAATATTGCCAGCAACAAGTATCAAGTCAATAGTTTTATTTTCCTTTTTTAGAAAACATATATACTTGTAGTAATTTTGATGTTGATTAGCACTTTTTTTCTTTAAATTTTCTGCAGCTACTCAAAATCTAAGTATCTAATTATAAGCCTTCCTCTCAATCACATTCATTGACCTCCAAGTATCAAAGAACTCTCCCTTGTACTGTAATTCCCTCCTTCTCCATACTGCATCTAATGTGGAAGAGGCATTGTGTGGGGCAGATGGAAAAGAAGGGGGGGGGGATGACAAAAAAAAATGATCTCAGCCCTCCCACAGTTGGCAATCTATCTAGTGCCTCTCCATCCCCACACATGCACTCACCTTAACTAGGCCTGAGAAGAGCACCCTTCCTACCCATCATACATTCTTAGTAAATTGGAGTTTTGTAAGAGGTCAAGGAAGAAAAATATTCTGACTGAGATCACTGCAACTCATCAACTGCAGGAAGACAGTGGTTAAATAAAAGGTGTGAATAGCCAAGAAAAATGAGGGAGATTCACAGACCCAAGCAAGTCCTTCACAGGCATTTTGGGAGTAGGGGGAGTACCAGGGATTGAACTCTGAGGACTCAACCACTGAGCCACATCCCCAGCCCTTTTTTGTATTTTATTTAAAGACAGGGTCTCACTGAGTTGCTTGGTGCCTCACCAGTTGCTGAGGCTGGCTGTGAACTTGAGATCCTCCTGCCTCAGCCTCCTGAGCCATTTTTGAAAATCTTTTAGGAAAAGTGTGAAATATTGAACTAAGCAAGGCCAACACATACTTGCCCAGATTTTTCCCTTCACTTCCCCTTAAGTGATCAACATCAAAACAGGCCCCCTTTTCAAAAGTCCCTTTGTGGATGGGTGAAGTCAAGCTCACCTGATCCAAGCCCCCTTAAGGTGGCCACCAGGGGATCAGCTAGGAGCCTCACAAGGAGGGTTTCCAAGATCAAGCCCCTAATTAGCTACACAAAGAGAAAACCATGAACAATTTGTGTACTTGGTGGTATTTACTTCTTTCTTTTAACACACTGCCTTTTGGGATGAGAGTTGTCAAAAGGGCAATCTGTAGGATTAAAATATGGGAGGGGGTGACAGTTTAGTTCAAAGGCTGCCTGCTATTTTAACCCATTATTTGGGCTCATATGCAAGGCCAATGTTCTATGCTATAAGAAAAGAGAGCAGAAACAATATTTTTAAAAAAGCTTCCCACCAACAAACTGTGATGTACTAGACAACAAATGTATTATGCTTGTGTATATATGTGTATGAACAGGTAGATATAGATATGTTAAAATAGAGTGATTGTTTTTCTGAGTTTATTTTGGCCAGTGTATTTTTCCCAAAGGGCTTTTCCTGGCCAGGGGAGGAGGGATATTCCTCAATGTTCACTGAGCAAGTAGAAATGATGTCCACTGAGATGAGCCCCCATTTTCAGGGCCTCCACAGAAATTGCTGGGATAGGATGAGATTGTTTCTGGGACAGCCATATTAACCAGCCCCAGAACAAGGCATTTTCAAGGAAGTCAAACTGACTGTGCCCACTGACTGTGACCTACCTGAATCATGATGTTGGCCTGTGGTGGGTGGAACCTAGGCAAGGAGATGGACCTGACTAGTTCCCACCCTAGCTGATGGGTACTTCCCTAAAGGTTGTCCAGCTGAAACTTTCTTATTGGAAGCTCAACCACCACCATGATACCAACTCAGCCCTGGCCTCTTCAAGGGTCTGGGAACATTTACAGTGGAAACACCGGTGGTGAATTTCAGCCCGGTGTCTCAGCAAACAAACCTATGATTTGAGTTTGTTGAGTTTGGCCCAGTACAAGCCACACACAAACTTTATTTTGTATCTAGGCCCAGATACCCTGGCTCTGAGAATCTGTCCCCATTGTGAACACAGCTCGCCCGCGGCTGAGGCTCGGCGCTGACCCGGCCATAACTGCCAAGGGCCGGACAATGGGCACATCTGTCCTTTCTCCGAGGGATGAAAGCACCTAAGCGGACACGGCTCTGCCTTTTGTTACGGATTTTTTTTTCTTTTCTTTTGTAAATGAAAGAAAGCCGCGGCATGTGGCGGCCGGGTGTACATCCCACACTGGGGGCTTCTCCACGCGTCCAGACCTAAGAACCAGGTTTGATTCCGTATTGGAACATGACAGTGGAAAGGGCAAAATTACGTCCGAAGCTGAATTAATTTTCAACCGGAGGCTTCTTCAGGGACGCTGGGAAAGGGGCGTCCCTACGGGCCAAGCGGAGACCCGCGTGGCAGCGTTTACCTGGCCTATGTCAGTACTTTTCACAAGCAGCGGCCTCTGGGTGCTTTACCAGGAGAGCCTCGGAGGCAACCCTACCAACCGCCGGAGCCTTGGCGGCCCCCTCAGCACCGGAAGTTAACAGGGGAACCCACCAGGGCACTCCTACCCTCCTCCTTCCCCCTCCCCTCCGAGTCACTGGTGAAGCGGGCGTGCAGCCTTAATTATGAGCTGCGCGGAAGAAGGACACAGGCGGCTAGGGACAGCGAGGTATGGACTCTTGGCACTTAATGCTCCTTCCCCAGGGCACGGGTAAGGAAGGGCGGGCAGAGAAGTGTCTGGGAGGATGAAGGATGCCTGGTCAACAGCTGCCAACCTGACCGAGACCTTTAAGATATTTAGGGTTCCCTTCTCCAATAGGCGAACATTTATAAGGGTGCAGAAAGCGCCAACTTACAGCATCTCTCCGGGAAATAGAGCTTAGTGGGCCTGGGTGAAAGGAGTGATGACACAATCCCCAGCTTCCCGGGCAACCTTCCCCGGGAAGCAGCAACTATCGAGAGAAGAGCAAAGCTCCGAGCACAGCGAGCCAACCGTGGTAGGAGCCTGGCAGAAGCGTCCTGGGGCTAGAAGGAAAGAGCTCACCAGTGCAAGGGAGGCGAGCGGGAAGCAAGTCTCCCGAGATTGCGGCGGCGGCCCCAGGACGCGCTCCGCCCCAGTTCATTGCACGTGCCCACCGCTTCCAGGCCATCCGGCGCCGCTGGAAAGGCGCAAGACCACCCCCTCCCCACTTCATTTGTACGGGGACTTCAGGGGCTGGGATCGCGGGGACTCAGGGGGCGGGGCCGAGCCGTACGCATGCGCAGTACGACCGGTAGGCGTGAGGGCGGGCCGCTGCAGCCGCGGCGGCGACTGAACCGCGGCCACAGAGTCTGCAACAGTAACCGAGCCATGGCTCGAGCTGGCGAGCGGCGCGGGCAGGCAGCAGCCGTGGCAGGCGCGCCGGTCGCGTCAGGGGAGCCGGGGACCTCACAATTCTAAGAAAAGGGGCGAGAGGGGACCAGGGCTAGGCGGGCTGGTGGCATCGCGCTCTCCCAACAACGCGGATCCTTTTTGGAAATTAATATTTTTTAAAAGCGGAGGACGCAGAGGGGAAGGTGGGGTTGAGAGGAAAGGAGACATACACACACATACACACGCGTACACACACACACACACACACACATACACACACTCATACAGACCCACAGTGAGAGGAAGGAAGAAAGGCTACAGTCGCTGGCAGCCAATGTGAAGACCGGACTCCGTGCGCTCCTCGCAGCCTCTGCCCGGCCACATCGATGTTGTGTCCGCCGCCCGCTCGCCGGGATCACGATGAACGCGCAGCTGACCATGGAGGCGATCGGCGAGCTGCACGGGGTGAGCCATGAGCCGGTGCCCGCCCCTGCCGACCTACTGGGCGGCAGTCCCCACGCGCGCAGCTCTGTGGCACACCGTAGCAGCCACCTGCCTCCCGCGCACCCGCGCTCCATGGGCATGGCGTCCCTCCTGGACGGCGGCGGCGGAGGCAGCGATTACCACCATCACCACCGAGCCCCTGAGCACAGCCTGGCTGGTCCCCTGCACCCCACTATGACCATGGCCTGCGAGACTCCCCCAGGTATGAGCATGCCCACCACCTACACCACCTTAACCCCTCTTCAGCCGCTGCCGCCCATCTCCACCGTATCGGACAAATTCCCCCACCATCACCACCACCACCATCATCACCACCACCCGCACCACCACCAGCGTCTGGCGGGCAACGTGAGCGGTAGCTTCACACTCATGCGGGACGAGCGCGGGCTGGCCTCCATGAATAACCTCTATACCCCCTACCACAAGGACGTGGCTGGAATGGGCCAGAGCCTCTCGCCCCTCTCCGGCTCCGGTCTGGGCAGCATCCACAACTCCCAGCAAGGGCTTCCCCACTATGCCCACCCCGGAGCTGCCATGCCCACCGACAAGATGCTCACCCCCAACGGCTTCGAAGCCCACCACCCGGCCATGCTCGGCCGCCACGGGGAGCAGCATCTCACGCCCACCTCCGCTGGCATGGTGCCCATCAATGGCCTTCCTCCGCACCACCCCCATGCCCACCTGAACGCCCAGGGCCACGGACAGCTCCTGGGAACGGCCCGAGAGCCCAACCCTTCGGTGACCGGCGCGCAGGTCAGCAATGGAAGTAATTCAGGGCAGATGGAAGAGATCAATACCAAAGAGGTGGCGCAGCGTATCACCACCGAGCTCAAACGCTACAGCATCCCACAGGCCATCTTCGCGCAGAGGGTGCTCTGCCGCTCCCAGGGGACCCTCTCGGACCTGCTGCGCAACCCCAAACCCTGGAGCAAACTCAAGTCCGGCCGAGAGACCTTCCGGAGGATGTGGAAGTGGCTTCAGGAACCCGAGTTCCAGCGAATGTCCGCGCTCCGCTTAGCAGGTGAGCGGGCCAAAGAGCTTGGCGCGTAAGCGAGAT